CCCTTCTTTCTGTCTGTCTCTTGTCTCTGTCTCTCCCCCGTCTCTGTCTCTGTCTCTGTGTGTCTGTGTTTACATTCTCAACAGTCCCTTCTATGAGCTTCTGGAGGATAGACAGAATGTCTTAATTGCTTTTCTCTGTGTGGCTAGATTTAAGGTCAAGTAAGTTTTTTGTTGAATAGAATAGTGTATTTACAACACTCAATTTGGTTACTTCAAGCATGATGATAGGAGTTAGAAGCTGGTAATGATTCTGTGGGAAGTGATTTAATAAAAGATTTGGAGAGGATTATAGAAAATCTATAATAAGGCAGATTTCTAAATCAGACTAAAAGTGAGACAATTAACGTAAAATACCTCTGTGGGTAGCTTTTAAAAGGATTGCCTCTTTGAGAAAGAATCAGGGCAGGAGATTCAAAATAGTTCCATCTAGAAACAGACTCAAGTGAAGCTTTTGTGAGAACTTCTTCCAGCCAGCCAATCAGAAGACAAGATGCCTGCAACCTCTTTCTCCTTTTGATTTGTTGTTCCTATGGCAATAGAAAGAGAGCCTAGGACATTTTTCTCCTACTTCTTTTAATAAACCTTTAGCTTTTGAAAAATGCCCAAAGCTGTTATTCTTTCTTGTCTTTGACTAACTTAAAGTGTTTTGTATCAGGGTGGTCCTGAATTTGGTTTTTGATTATATGGTGGATGTGGCAAAACTAATAAAAACTATTAGGCTGCTTGGCTAATAATATTTTCTTAGGCTGTAGAATCTGTAAACATAATCAATCTGATAGGGTACTTGCTGTTAATACCAGAAACTACTGTGAATCATTTCTTATTTTCTATGAACAATCCTAAATTGAGAGTACTCTTCATCGTAAGTAGCTAAATATGAAACTATAACAAACATTTTTTTTTGGAGGTTTTCTGTCCTCCATGATGATCCTTTCTCTTGAGTGCCAGGTCAAAGCCTCAAAAGGAAAGAAGCTTGGTTTATATTGTTCACTTAATAATTAGGTCACTATGTATTTATTGAAGTTGGTAAATACCCATAGTGTCAGGATAAACAGACATATTTTAACAATAAGATAGTAGTCACAGAAGCTTTAAAGATGTACCACTGTTAGCAGAGAGAGAGAGAGAGAGAGAGAATTTGATTTACATTGTGAGTATAGCTAATCTGAAGACATCTTTTCATTACTTAGGTAAGCACTGATGGATATTGTTTGTTCCAGGAATTTCCAAACCAAATCTCTAAATTTAAAATTAGAACCTTTAAGAATCAATTAGTATGGTCCTGCTGCATTTTAATGCTTAGGTTGAGGAAAGTGGAACTTTTATTTTTATCCCTTATTTTCATTTTCCATCAATGTCTTCCTGCTCCATTAGGCAAAAGGAAACTTGTTTAGGCTAGCATGTATGTACTTCCTTATTAAAAAATGGGTATATTTCTTAGAGTGACATTTTGTGTTGAGTATACACTTTTAAAGCAGTGTAGTTGGTCACTCAGTTCCTTAGTAATTGACTATGAAAGTAGGAGAGTTCTAATACCTTTCAACCACCATTATCTTTTACTTTTACACTGGTCTTAAAACTGGAAGGTACCAGTCCTGGAATGATGAGTTGAGAACTCTGGTTAATAGATGTTGTTAGTTACGTCACAGTACCAGCATGGATGATACCTAGGATCAAGCTATCTTTTCATTTATTGTATTCTAAAGCAGTGTAAACCATGCAAAAGTTGTGAAAAAGGACTCTTCTCTCAGACCTGGATTTAAATCAGTCCTAGCTTCAAAGCAGTAGCAATTATTTTGGACAAGTAAATTACTTCATCTCTTTGAACCTATGTTTTCTCTTCTGAATGTTGGGGAAAAAAATGCCCATTATATAGGGTTATTGTGAGAATGAGCTGAGGTAGCGTTTAGGATGTATTTAGTATGGTTCTGGTGCTTAATAGATCCTCAGTAAACACCAACATGGTTCTCAATACCCCACACTGTCTACCATAGATATTACAAAGGTAAATTCTTGGCAGACAGACCCTCAGTCACTCCTTTAGAAATCTTTTTCCTGGATTTACAAATTAATTGTCAAGCTTTGAAAATATTAAGCTTACAATAAATGGCTAATACTTTGAAGTCAAATTCTCAGAAACTTTTTTTAAATGTTAATTGTTTTCTATGTTTTTAAAGTATTGAAAATAGTTTTTAAAGTATGGAAAACCTTAGGAAGATCATTTTTCCTTTTTTGGGCTTTAGTTTTTTCACCTCTAATTAAAAATCAGGGGTAGGAAGTTAGACCAAATGGTCTTTAAGAGTTTCTTCAGGTCTCAGTCTATAATTTTTTTGATTTATTGAATGTGAAAAATTGCCCTTAAAAAAGTTAGCAGTAGAATAACCAGGATTGCACGTGGAGACAAATATATGTTAAACTTTTTTTTTTTTTCTGGTACCAGGAATCGAACTTACCACCTTGCGCTTGCCGGGCAGGCGCTGTGCCGCTGAGCTAAATCCTCAGCCCCAATATATGTTAAACTTTGCAGAGGGAACTGGACTGTCTTTACTGAATAAATGAAAGTTGATTTATACTTGAGCTTTGTTATTAATTTGATGGTCAGTTGCTGAATACAGGGATGATCTTTAAACTGTATCCTGGGATCTGAGTAGTGTCCCGGGATCTGAGTGATTCTTTGATTTATGTAACTATAAAGACTGTAAAACAAAACAAAACACCTCTAAATTGAACTTCAAGGATATTGGGAGTTTATTTAAATTAAATAATCCATGTAATATAAACATGTAACTTGTCTGGGCCTTTTTGTGCCCAGACACTTCTGATGCATCCTGATATAAATGTTCCTTTAATAAGTTTGTGCTAGAATACGTCTGGATAGAGAAGTTGTTGTAATATAATCAGGTAATTAACTTTTTTCCTAACTCTGACATCGGATGTTCCTTGTTCCCATGCACCTCGAGCAAGTTGTTGTTTTAGTAAGTCAGCCTCTCCTTTACTGATTCTCTTAGTTTCCTCATGTGTAAAATGAAAAATCAATCATTTTTTCATTCATTCATTCATTCATTCGTTCATATTGGGGATTGAAGCCAGGGCCTAAAGAGCTACATCCTTAGCTCTTTAAAAAATTTTATTTTTAAATTTTGATACAGGCTCTTGTTTCCCAGGCAGGGCTTGAATTTACGATCCTCCTGCCTTAGCTTCCCAGAATGCTAGGATTATAGGTGTGTGCTACCATGCTCCATGAAATCTTGCAAAGGGTTATTTGGAGAGTTAACTATGTCATCTGTCTAACAAGAGCTCAGTAAATGGTAGCTACTTTCATTGTGTTATATAAAAATGTGTTCATCAGCTTTCTTGCACATGGCACTTTAAATATGAAATGTGGGACAATGAAGTGTGTATATTGAGCATCAGTGATAGACTGCTACTCTGGATTATAGTAAGCTGTGGGATAAATGCTCATGTTGGAAATGTGTGGCATTTTTTTGTTACCACAGAGCTGCTCAATATTTTATTAATCTGATTTTGTATTCTTTAAGTGTCTTTCCTAAATAATTTCAGCATTCTGTACATTATGTGACAGCTGTAAGTACCAAATGACAGATGCTGGATAGGAACCCACGGCTCTCAGATTTGAAGCAAAACTGTTTTTGTATTATAGTTGGAGCGATCATAGAATTTAGCCCTGAACCTGAACTCATTAAGAATGAGAGTTATTCTGGGATAATAAATAGAAACAAGGGGTGCTTCAGGCCAGAGAGGATGTTTGGCCATCCTAATTGCAGCTAGGATGAGCCAGTTTATGAGGTTTAAGATTTGTGGAGTACTTTGGTTGAACCCAAGCACCCCACCTTCAGCTTTTTGTTTTGGCATAGTTAATTGGTTTTGGAGGGGATACTTAATTAATCTTAAGTCTGGAAAAATACTGAATATCATGAATAGTTTGATGGCTATGACATAGTAACCATAATGTATATGCTTATTTTTATATTTTATTTTTTTCTTAATTCCTTTAAAACCAGCAGTCTTTTTAAAAATGATGGAAAAGGGTAAAAGAATTAAGCTTTTCATTCTTACCCATGTCAGATGAACTTTATAAACGAAGTTGTCTGAAATGAAAATCGTGATATTCCAAAGTTTTTTCTTTGAGAAGGTAGAGATAAAGATGAAAATCAAATGTGTTTTAAGCAGCTCTCATATTGCCTATATCAGTGGTGGTGAACCTGTGGCATGCGTGCCACTGTGGGCTGTTTATGTCATTGAAAGCTTTAAAAGGTTTGCCATCACTGGCCTGTTACTCATCTTTCTTATTCCTTTGACCCTATTCTCTAGGTCTCATGCAATTTTACTTTGGGTAGTATAAAACTGTACTCATATGATAAAAGTTGGGATGGTAGAAGTTTTTTTTTTTCTGTTTTTACATAATAAAGGCATCTTGATCTTGTGGAAGGAATGTGCGACTTGGCCACAGACAAACTTAAGTTTGAAACTGTAGTTCTCTCTCCTTTGCTGTGTGTCCTTGTGCAAATCACTTTGCCCCTGAGCCTCAGTTTCCTTACAGTGTGGTGTGAGGATCAGAGAGCACATTTAAAGTGCCTGTCACATACGAGGTTCTTAAGCAATGATGGCAATGATGAGTATATGACATAGATGGGAAACCTCACTATATAAAATTATAGTCACAGTCTGACCACTAATTTTGTTTTGCACTCAAACTCTGTTTCCTTTAGTGGGTTTTCATTTAAACATTATCTCTCTCTCCCCCTCTTGGTTCTGTCCACTACATTCTGAGAAATTCGTGGTTAGTAGCAGAAACCTGTTTGTAGCACAGAAAGTGGGCCCGCTCCCAAGTTCAGTAAGCTGCCTAGGACCATCCCTGACCTCCAACCCCCCATGGGTGCACCCCTGCCCCAACTAACATTCAAGTTGCCTGTGTGAAGGAGTAATTTGTTGCGGCCTCTAACTGCTTCTTCTCTTCCTTCCTTTTTGTCATCCTGCAGTGTTCTGTGCCAAGGTCTTTGTGGCTAGGCTGCGCCAACCTGGTAGAGAGCATGTGCGCACTGAGTTGCCTGCAGAGCATGCCCAGTGTCAGATGTCTCCAGGTGCCTCTCTTCTTTCTTGTTGTAAATGTGTTTTTACGTATGCCATGAACATTTGTTGAAACTTGCAGTAGTGTGTTTAATCCAATGTTAAGTCTGCTAAATGTTCTGTGTAACCCTCTGCTTTCCTCCAGCCTGGGTGCCCCACATGGAGGAGTTAGTACCAAGAGGAACCCTTCAGAGCCCAGTGGGTCTTCAGCTGGGCCTGTCCTACTCCCTTTTCTATTCCTGCTTTTTATTCTTTTCCCTTCACCTTGAAGTTGTATTCTCATGTTTAATAGTTGTGCATGTGCCAAAACAAAAACAAAAAACAAGCCCTGACAATTTTGTGGCTATCATTAATAGTTCTTTGTTGAGTCGGGAGGGTTTCATAATTAAAGTGGTGATTTTTCTATTTTGAAACTCATCCTTTTGGTTTTCTTTCTCTCCCCCTTCAAAAAAGGAGGAGGGAAGGAATCATTAATGTTATAAAGCCTCCAATTGAAGTTTATAAAGATCACAGCTTTATGCTGCCAGTAATTGTCAGTTTGGGCCACTTCCCAAAGGCCAGATCTGACACCTGTCCTCAGAGTCCACCCAGTTTTCCAGGCCGAGGCTGGCAGAGAATTCCACAGATGAAAGTAATACTTTTTTTTCTTTCGATGGGGGTGGGAGGGTGGGATGGGGTTGCTCAGGATAAAACTGTTAGTACAAGTGCAGCTGGTGACGTGTCTTGTTGGGTTGGCTTCTAGGAGAACCAAGGCCAAAAATACTGTGGCTTTATTTGTGAAGCTCAGTTTAGAGAAAGCATGTGTTTAAGTAAATTTGTTGTCAGTAGCAGTATTCAGTTTTCATCACTGCATATTCCACGCAGTTTGATACATCTTTTCTTTGAAAAGCAGTATTAAATTCCTTGTGTCCTGTTGAGACTGTCTTATGGTAGGAAAAGAGTGTAAAATTAGTAAATAAGTTAGAGGGATATGATTGATGACATGAGTAATTTCATTGTTCTCAAAGTTATCTTTTTATTCACGTTTACCGTCTTTAAATGGAGCTGAGCGCTAGGATGGAGGAAAAGTTCCTTCGTTTTGGGTTGGGGATTTTATTTACTTACTGGCAGACATCCTGAATAGCATTGCTGTACTTGCTGATTCAAATTGCTTTCTTTAGAAAACTACTGAAACCTTAATCACTTAGCTGAAGTGTTAATTCAATACAAGGCCCAGTTGCCTTTAGATTCTATAGATGTAGTCTTAGAATACAGCGATTGACTGTTCAGTGAGGCTCCAGTATAATGCGTGTGTAGCTTTTTGGAAAAGCAGCTTGCTTACGTGTAATACAACTTCAACAAAAATGTTGAAAGGGCAGACAGTTTTGCATGCCTTCTGGGTGCTGTCTAATGGGTGTTTGCATTGTACTAATCTTGTATCTTTGTGTCTGTTTTTTTGAAAATGGTTACTTGAATGTTACAGTGAGCTGACCCAGTTTTCTCAAGAACTGGAAATTCAAGTAAGGAAAGAATTGTAGTTGTTAGTAAGGTCTTGAAGTGCAGATTGTTTTATTGGGTTCAGTGAAAAAATTGACCAGTGGAAGGCATCATTCAATACATTTTAGCAGCAGTATTGCCAGTTCTCTGAGTGGGAGGAAGTGTAGGTTCCTACCTTGTTGCAAATGGAAAAAGAAAGTCTCAGGAAAAGAAAAAGTTCTTTGACTCATCTCTCCCATTGAAAAGTTTTTTAAGAGAAAAAAGTTGAAACTTTGCCTTCTTTGGCTCTTATTTCAGTGAATGAAGCAATTACTTTTAGAACTGTGTAGGAAATTTTGTTTACTTAGGTTTTTATTTTCACTAGTATATAATTGAGAGTATGCAGCAAGTAAAATGAATTAAGTACTTAGTTGATTAGAATTAGCAAATTATTACTATATTTTGTTCCATGTGTGAATGGAAGGTAACCAGGTGTTAATGAACCCAGAAGACTTCCTTTCCATTCATTTTATGTATCATTATTACTTTAACTAAAAGCTTGTACATGGATTTTTAAATTCTTATGTTTTAAAAAAGATTATTATTATTTTGTGGTGCTGGTGATTGAACCCAGGGCCTCATATACGTTAGGCCAAGCACTTTATCACTGAACTACACCCTGTCCTTACTTGTATTTTATTTTTTTTACATTTTTAAAATAGCACCAGCATTTCCCTCTCTAGTCTCCCAGCAGCATTAAAGTTTGGGCATTACCTTGAACTTCCAAAGAATGCCTTTTGCTTGTATGCTACATCTCTGGTTAACTATTAGGGTGACTCTTCCTTGATATTGCTCACCTCTTCACAAAGTCATTTTAAGCAGGCTTAAAGAGAGAAAGGACAGAGTTCCTAAAAAGAATAGCCTGGTTGATTGCAGTGGGCTGTGGAGTTCCTTGAAAGGGTCCCCCTTAAAATGGTTACACTTGACCTACTGATCATTTCAAGTGGAGCCAACTGTCTTGTATGTATGGCTGATAGTGTACCTTTTGAAAAAGCAGGAGTAAAGATAGCAGTTGCTTTTAGACATAATTTGGCCACTGTTGCCATCTAAGAAAAGGGATAGCAAAGACTTAAAAATCACTCACTGCTGACTGTATTTGGTTCTTCACATATATTAGGTTTATGACAACCTTGTGAAGTAGGAGTTATTTGATCCCATTTTTCTGATGTGGAAACTGGGACTGAGATGTTACATGCTGTTTCACTCAAGTTGATATTTACAAAACTGTGACAGGTGTGATGGTGCACACCTGTAACCAGCACTGAGGAGGCTGAGGCAGGAGGATCACCATTAGTTTGAGGCCAGCCTGGGGTACATAGTGAGTTCAAGGCCAGCTTGGACTACTTAGTCACACAAAAACATTATAAGACTCTGATATGGTAGACTGGGTATTTAAATCCCCCCATTTGCCTAACCCCCCCCAACTGGTTTTCTTTTTTCTATACTGGAATGCCACTTTTCTACAATATTACAGTATAGTGTGTGTGTGTGTGTGTGTGTGTGTGTGTGTGTGTGTGTGTACATGTGCTCTTGCATGTGTATGTGAACTTTACTGTTGATAATCTGGTGGTTATCAACAGTTTGTTAAACCATTATTTATTTGGAAATTAGAAAAATCTGCCAAATTATGTAAGGAAAATAATTGGCATTTCCTTTGCCAAATGAGCACTCCTGAATTTTGCAGGTGCAAGGTACTAGGGATTGAACCCAGGGACTTTGTAATGAACTGCACTCCCAGCCTTAATGATTGATTGATTGATTGTCTTACAGGTTACCCAGGCTGACTTGAACTTGCAGTCCTCTTGCCTCAGCCTCTTAGAGTGCTGAAATTGAAGGCATGTACTACCATGCCCAGTTCATTTCTGAATCTTAGAGCTGTAGGGGGTTCCTCAGTAGATTTTCTACAAATTTAATTTCATTTCTATTTACTGGACAATTAGTATATACCAGGACTTCTGCCAGTGGTAGCCATACACAGGGAACAAAACAGACTTATTTCCTGTGCTCAGGGTGCTTGTTGTAGTAAGCAGGCTTTTAGATAAAAGTCCAGAGTGAATCACAAGTGAAGTCAGTGTGTATGTATAAAATCAAACTGAAGTTAGCCAAACCTATATGTGCTTGTACAGCAATGTGAATGAACCATTTTAAACTAGGATCAACCCTCAATACACATTTTAGAACAGTTGAACTGGAATATCTGGATATCTCTGAACTAAGCCAAGCTGAGTCAATATTTTGTTTACTTAATATATCCAGATTCAACTTGTTGGGTTGTTATATCAGATAATAAAGAGTTCAGAGCAGGTAGAGTGTTGGCTTGCCAAGACTTAGGCATGAGATTCATAATGATGTTAATATAGTATCTTTTATTCTCCATACATTGGGCTTGCAGCCCTCAGTTATCTCATATGATCCTTTTTAGAGAAGTTATCTATTTATGATGTTGTGCTTTGGATATGAAGTTAAGAAATGATTTGCCTAGGTTAAACATTTATTTGAGGGCAGAACTTCGTTATGAATCTAGATCTGGATAACTGCTAAATCAGTGCTATAGTTACCAGGCTGTAGTGACAGCTGCCAGCTTAACTTGGCAGCTGTCGTTTTTATGTTGAAACACATTTCTTTTAATTTTTCATGTCAGAAGTTTAGCACATCAGGAGTGTAGAGGTTTGAGGTAGTAGACTGACAGGTTTTCTTGGGAATTTTGTTTGTACCTCCTAGCTGGGGGAGAATGCTAGTGACAAGTTTTTTTTTAAGAGTAGGACTGATTACTTGGAACGACAGTGAAGAACATGTGAATTGGATCATGTGAATCAGGTTTTAGTGCCTCCTTCTTAGCTTGAGTGTGCTTTTTTTTTTAGTTTTAAGTGGTCACTATTCGTGTGAGCCATGGAGGTCTACGAACACTACAGTTGGAACTTACTAGAGCTGCAGACTGAAGATAGTTATTGTTCAGAAAAGACAGTGAGCTGAGTAGGAAGAATCCTGGCTTTGAAGCCAAAATACCTAGATTCTATTCGTATTTCTGCGATGCCGGGGAAGTTACCTTCCTTCCCTTGATTCTAGTTGCCTTATCTTTGAAGATGGAAGGTAGTTGTATCCATTTTGCAGGGTTTTTGTAAAATAGAGGAAGGTAATAGCTACCCCTTACTGATGGCCTACTTTTTGGGGGAATGAAAATCCATTCCTGTCTTTGCTTGCTGTACGTTCTTTATTCAAGAAGTAGTTCCAGCCTTAAAAGTACTGTATTAGATACAAAGTTGATTAAGGATAAGGGAAGAGACCACGCATATCGTATGGATTCTACTGCATGGTGTTCTCTCCTCTCACCATAGGTCAGACACAGCCCTTTCAACTCTTTGCCTTTGTGTTCTAAAAAGCATTGGGGATTTGTTGTTTCTTGTTGACTATATGAGTGTGCTCTGGGTCAGAAAATATTAAGACTTGCAGTAACCTTCTGTATTGCTCAGTGCCTATAGTAGTTTATAAACCTTTAACA